TTAATCACAGGCGAGAATTGTAGGGCACATCCCAGGCTGAATACTAACGAGGGTAAGGAACCTGCATCCAGAAGAGGAACAGGCCACCGCCACCATCGTCATGCCGTGTAAATGTACGAGAGAGAAAGAGGCAACCTTAACACTAGCCGATTAAATGCAAATAAAGAATATGTCGTGGGACGAGCCAGTTTGTAGCTTTTCTTTTTTGCCTTAGTTTTGTATTCTCCCGAGAGCCAAAAGTTCCTCAATTGCATTTCAGTGCTTAAAAGATTTATTTGATCCTAGAATGAGGAGGAAAAAATCTCACGGGCTTCCTTTCTTGGTCATGAAGAACTTCTTTAAAATGGGACATTCTTTGCTGAGGTATTTAATCGTTGGGAAGAGCTCTTAGTTTGAATCTCTGCGATGCACAGTCTAGGCACCCATCAAATTATAGATTTTATTTTATTGTTTGTTCAGTGTTTGGGCAGACTTTGTAGAAAAGTTCAATGGCAAAAGACTACTTCTTCATTGGAGTAAAGGACATGAAATATCCCAGATTTATAGCTATCCTGAATTTAAATATTATCACTATGCTATACATGCATTAAGAAGAAACCAGCTGCAAGAAGGTAACAGGATTACCATCAGTAGTAGCCTGCTCAGCTATTTTCCCAGTATTGGTAATATAATCCTGGTCTTGGGAAAAGTAATATTTTTAAACGCTCTATCATATTTAGCTCAGTTTAACCTATAAATTATTTAAGTACTTTTTAAAGGGTTTAAGGTCACATTCTTCTGTATTGTTGCACTACTTAATAATAATAATAATAACAATAAATTAGTAGTTGATCTTGCCCAGATGGTGACCAATAAACAGAAATACAGATAAAACACTAACATCCATCCATTCATACTGCTTATCTAGTGCAGAATTGTATTGCGAAACACTAAGAAAAATATGTAAAAGTGACAGTGATGGTTTGAATTACTATGCTGTAGGTGGTGATTTTGCTGTTGCAGCGAAGCTTGTGTTTCTCAGAAGAATTTAAAAATAAAACTCCATGACTGTGAGTTTTGGAATAGGACAGTAGCAGGTCATGCTTCCTAAGGAAATTATTCGTAAATCTTAATGCTTTATTTTTTGTGGCTACCAGTAAGATATTCCTTAGGTTACAGAGTTACAAAAGGAAAAATGAAAACCTCTCAGAAAAACCCTGTATGGACCGCAACACGAGTCTTCGGTATAATCTTTTGTTTTGTTAACATCGTAACCCAAAATCTCGCATTTATCATCATAATTGCTCAAGAGAAAATGTAACGGCTGAACTTCATTTTTTTTTATTATGATTTTTTGAAAAGGAGTTAGCTGGTAGACAATTTTTGACGTCATTCTTCTATCACCCAGATTGCAGATGAAAAGTTCAATCGATAGCTTCTCTCTACGATAGGTGTGCCCCTGTTTTTCACCCTGTTTAACTGAAACCCATAATCTTCTGCTCAGCACTGGTTAAATTGCCAGACTTCAGTATCGTCTTAATGTTTTTATAGGAGAAAAAGATTTAGGTATTAAGCTGTCCAATGCTCACGTGTAAAACAGTGATTAGTGCTGTTCACATGGCACCTGACCTTTTACCCCTCGATCACCTATCTGTAATTCCAGTGCGCTTCAGCAGTCTGACAGATGATGTGTTGCTTGTTGTTTAAAACCTGTTGCTGCGTCTGCGCCTAGCTAGAGGTCTGGACCCTAGCAAAGTGCTAATACTACTCTAAATATTATGCTCTTCACAAACATGTAGGTGTGAGAAATGGCCACTATTGTTCAACTTGCATCAAAATTGGCAGTGTACAGTATATTAAGCTTTTTAAATTAAGTAGTTTATTTTTGCATGGCTAAGATGGATGTTGCCGTAATAAGTTTAAAGGTGTTCGCGTAATTTATTTTTTATTGTCTTGTAGTCGGACTGAGATCTAAGGGCCAGTGCTGATCCATATCTGCCTGTTGGTTCCTCCCGTGCCACACTTGTCATAGCTGGAATCCTGGGGACTTGAGTGTGACTTGAGTGGTCCTGTTTTTATCCGGGATGGGGGGGGCACTGATAAAAGTGATATGCCCTGGGGTGTTTTCAGTGCAAATGCGAACTCGCTAACTGATCAATTTGGCAGCATATGCCCCAAACGGGACTAGAGACCAGGAACGATCCGGGTGCCACCAGGGGTGCTGTGACATTGATAGCCCAGATCCCACAATCTTCTTATCTTAAAATACGACCTGCTTCGCTTCGAGGTGTCACTGCCACTCTTGCTGGTAAAGGGGTGCGTTTCGACAGACGCTTCCGCTGGACTCCATTTAGCTGCACCAGGCAGCAAATGTTAGGTTTCAAGTTCCCTGGTCGCCTTGTCGTTAATGCTGCTTGTTATGGTTCTATTCAGGTTTTAGTGGAATTTCCGTAAAATTTCCTCTTTCATTTGCTACTCTGTTAATTGTAAAGTGTGCATTTATTGCAAATTTTTTTAAGCGTGTTTTCATTTGGAACTGTTTTGATGTTGATTTGTATGTTGATGCATAATGTCCCAGTGCCAATGTGTCCATCCATTGTGACATAAGGTGTCAGTTTGTTGTAATATAGCCCAGTACATCCCAGTAATCGTCACACATCTGTGCAGTTATAAATTATATCTTTATGGATAAATTCTTCCATTGTAATTGTATTGAGTGTCATACATTATTAATAGGTAGGTGACTAAAATATTGCATTCCCGACAAATGCTTATTACATGCTTGTATTGGGTAATATCCATTTATTAAATGACAATCATGCATGCTTAGATGTGTTTTACGTTTTCAAAGCAGAAGACCTGTTTTAATATAATGACATTTTGTTCTTATAAGTATCCCAAAACACTACCTGTCTCTTGAGGTTTTCAATGTGATTATGATCATATAATTTTGGTTGCCCCCCCCCCCCCCCCAACATGCAGAGAATTGAAAGGCAGACCAGGATGATGGAACCCGCTCAGTATAGCGAATTCTGCGAAAGTCGGCAGCTCAGCTTCTGTAAGTATTCTGCCAGACAGGAAAAGTTTGCATCAAATTACACTTTGCGTCAAATTACTTTTATAGTTTTTGCAAATATATGTAGACTTTAATTCATTAAAATATATAAAGTGTATAGCTGTCAATTTAAACCGGATTCCAGTGCTGTATAGAATGAGGACCCTGGAGACGAAAGTATGGTAACATCTGGGCTGTTGGATGGATTATCATGCATCAGCACGAAGCCCAGCGTGAATATCTCAGCTGAGCTATAGCGCCGGATGCGTTCCTGAGAGGGCCTCGTCTGGAGCCTGGCCGGGGCGCCGTGGCACAGCCACGCCGGGCCACATAGCCGCATTCCTGCCGTAATGGTGCGCTGACAAACCTAGTGCCTCGCCAGTCCGTCCGTGGGAGGTGCCGACCCGCCGATGGGATGTAAATTTCCGAGTCTGATCACGCGGCCCCCTGCTCTCCTCCTGTGGGAGACTTTACACACGGCATCCGTGCCGAAGGTCAGAGATTAATAACACAGTTAAAAGGAAGCGCAAGTACTTAAAAAAAACACATTGTCTGCTCTGATCCACCAACGGAAACTGGAATTACAGTTTCAGTCGTTACCCTCGGCTAGAGGGGAAAGGTCATGTCAGCATATAATATGCTAATACTTTCGAATTATGCGTCATGTGTGATGAACCTTTACAGATAAGGAAATTTTATGGCTTTTTAAAATTTTTCCATTGGATACCAGTAGCTGCCTGTGCTTTTTTTCTCGTGCTTTGGTTGGTGTTTTAACGTTGGCTTTCGATAATCGTTACCCGTTGAATTGTTTTTTGAAAGGTAGTGCTTGTTTTAAGTACAGTTTGATATTATTGCATGTCGCTGTAAAACCATCTTATAAATCCCAGGTCTGCTTTTGGTCGTTCTGAAATTTGATTATACCCTGTAGCAACCATACAGAGTAATTGTACACAATAACATTGTAGAGAGTAACATTGTACACAATACTGATAGTTCTGTTTTCTGGCCATTTCTCATGAAGAATTCTACTTTGTGGGTTTTCAGCCAAAAAAGCTTCCAAATTCCGTGAATGGCTGGACTGCAGTAGCATGGAGGTGAAGCCCAACGTGGTTTCCATGGAAATCCTGTCATATTTGGCATACGAGACTGTCGCTCAGGTAAAACCACATTATGGCTGCCCCTGCTGAACCCTGGGGGGGACCCCATACAGTCACGGTCCTTTAATTTCCTCTGTGAACTTAAAAGGTTAATTTGAGGTTAGTTGTGCTTACCAGTGATTCCTAATGACATGGAAAAGAAGTTAAGAAAATCTGAAGGATTGGGGAGGGGCTAATTTGATAATATTTTGATATTAAAGGATAATATTTTGACAGGGAAAGCACAAAAGCATCTTGGTAATCTAATTTTTGTTAGAAAAGTAAACCATGAAATAAAATCACAATATTGTGGAAGGAATTACTGATATACAGTATATTTTTGAGGAACTGATCATGATACTTCACAAATATACCTTTTATTTTTTTCTCTTGGCAAGCATACCTTCTTTTACTGAATCAGTTTGTTATATTTTGAGAATTTTGAATTTCCCAGAAGTCTGTTGCCCTACTTGAAACCGCCGTTATGTCAAAAGCATCACTGGGATAAACACTGGGAGCATGTATAATGAATCTACACGTTTTGTCCTCCTGTTTCTCATCTCCTGTTTCAGTTGGTAGACCTGGCACTGCTGGTTAAACAAGACATGACCCCTAAAACTGGAGACCCATTCAGCCATGCCATTTCGGCCACCTTCATCCAGTACCACAATCCCACAGCCGAGGTATTGCCACCCTCTCCCCGGTCTTCCGAGTTGCTTGTCTGGATGGCATCATGCATTATTCAACATGCGCGTCCCCTGGAAAATATTAAATCCCCACTGTTTACAGCCCAGCCAAGCTTGCGGTAGGTGGTGGTGTGTTGCGGGAACTCTTCTTTCGGGGTTCTTCGCTGTCACTGAAACCGTAAAACCGCTTCTTTCTTCCCTGGGTCAAATCGAGTCAAGGCCGCTGTGGGTTGAGGTCCTTTCGAGTTCTGTGGCCAGAACCCCAAGGCTGTTTCTCATCCAGACTGTGTAGGATTGGTCTTAGTGTCCCCAAGACGAGTACGATCTGTAGGTTGCCGTGGCCGATTGACCCTGCGGGTTCCAGAACAGTTGGAGATTGTGTCCTGGTGGTTTGTACTAAAGGCAGTTTCTCTGAGGTTTAAAATTTCTTTTTACTATTATGACCAAGCCCATTGTTTTGTAAACCGGATAATTGAGAGCCGCCTCTCTTTTTTGTGAATCTGCTCCCAGACCTTGTCTGGTTTTTCGTCAATGTGGTCCATGAGGTTATAAAGATGGGGGAAAGAAATCAAAAATCATTGGAGTGATCGATTGACTGATTGTGTAGTGTCTTCACCAGGGGCAGTCTGTCACTGTGAAGAGCAACCCAGATTCCCCAGAAAATACCCCCCCATCCACCCCCAACGCGCCACTCACTGGTGGCCACCAGGGAAAACTCTTCTCCATGGCCCAAGGCAATGGGGGACTGGTCCAAGATGGGAGCAGCAAAGTCAAGCAAAGGAAACGTAAAAAGGTTCAGAATCCATCAATACAATCTCGTCCTTCAATATGAACTTCTCATTTGTGTGATCACCTACAGTATGTGTGGTCGTTTTATAACTATGATGTTACTTTTTGATGACCACGTGTTATTTTAAACTTTTTAAACTGTTTTTATTTTAATGTCTTATCTAAAATCGCTGACTTGCATACTGATGCTTATTTATCGTTAAATAAGGTACAATATCGGTTTACATTTTCTCATTCTGTTAGGTAACGAAAGCGCTTCCACAGTTTAGAAACTTCACGCAGTGGGTCTCATTTATTAATTGATTACAGTCTTAGATGTATGTAATGTAATAAACTAAGAGAGAATTAACTTTTCTGTTTAAATTATCAAAGTGGAATAGCTTAATCAAATTACGTCGCCGTAGACGTCATCTTGACTGCTCTCGGAGGAGGCGACTGCTCTAGTTGCCCAGATGTTTATCTGCGCTGACCCGATTCTGACAGGGCTAACTTGTGCAGTCACATATGGGTTAGATACTTTGGTTCCACTTCCTTGTGATACCCTATATGTAAGCAGTGCCCAGGCTCCATAATTATTACTTTCTTTATCAGAAGAGTTTTTTTTTCCCCTGCAGTATGTTTAGAAGGATATTATTATCTGAACATTACCCGATGTTTTCCGGGTGTGAGTTAGCTAATAATTAGGAAATAACGGCAATGCTTGATATCACAGGAATTTAGCATATTGTGCTTCTTTCTTCTCCCTTCAATATATGCAAATTTAAACTCATGCATAATTCTGTGCGGACAGCACACTTGATCCTTTTTTCATCATTGCAGACTTTTTTTTTTTTGCACATTTAGCCCGTCTGCTAACATGTGCACGCTCACGGTCCAGTTGCCGTTTCTTGCACACGCTCCCATGCATAAGTCTGGTTGTGTGTGTATGTGTGTGTGTGTGTGCGCGCGCGACTGAGGGACCCCCTCGCGCAGAGCAGAGGGCTGTGTTTTTGATTTAGGAACCATCTCTGGTGTTTGTCTGTTGCAGAGCGCGGCAGCCTGCGGTATGGAGGCAGAAAGTGGTGCCATCCAGCCTGCCCACATCAGAGAAGCTATCCGGCGCTACAGCCATAAGACTGGCCCACTCTCCCCCTTCTCAGTACGTAATAACAGAGCTGTAAAAAAAAAAAAAAAGGTTATATTTATAATCTTACTGAACCCCATTTTAAAGTGGTCGAACTCTAACATATTTGAATTGTTGAGAGCAATTTGTGGTTAGTGTAATTTTCTGCATAAAACTGGCATAATGCTATTAGACGGATTTCTGTTTGTCTTGGAAAAGCACAAGATTTATTTATATATTAACTTTTTTTTTCTTTTAATATTCACAATTACAAATTGCATTTAAGTTTCATTTGATTAGCACAATGTGCAATTTTTATGGAACACATTTGATTGATTGTCGAGCCAGTTAGCATTCCTCATCTCACCTGTTTATAACGATTTACCAAATTGTCCTAGAGTAATCCTCCATATGGCTGGGGAAATAATCTGTTATTCTGCATTGTCTCATATTAGTTAAATCTGATGCTGCGACGGTTTAGATAATCTTGAACAAATTCTGCCCACCTTGTTTGATTTTCCCAGCCGCGTTAAAGGCGATTTGCGGATTATGCGGAATAGGTACGACATTCATCAGTGGTGTGGATAGGTGAATGTCTGTAACAGTCTAGAATAAGATCTTATTTGTTCAGGTGAGATGGCTAACTGAAGCGTGACACACAGGATTGGGATAAAGGAAAGGAGACTTTCTTTGGGGATATCGCTAACGAAACTGGGAGGAACGCTATGTAAACATAGCCATGTTGGCCTCAGTACAAGGGGAACACAAGAAAGGAAAGGGGATTTCTGGTTGTGGAAAAGACTATACTGGAGTAAACTTGTGTTTGGGCTTAGCAATTCAGCACAGGCTGGATAACTAGAAAGCTGGTTAATTAGCTCGTCAGACTGTTGTTGTCCTTAATGAGTAGTTTACAGAAGTACACTAAATAAAATCATCCAGGTGATAAGTAATTCTGGAATTCCACTACTTGAGACCTGGAGCAAAGAAGTGGAACTACTGTTGAATTGTTTTTTCCATTGTTTTTATCATTGATGGTAGGAAGGAAGTAGTGACAAAAATGTGGGTATTAGTTATATGCCTGATCGAACAGTAGAGCGGGATGGGTGTGGTAACACTGTCAGAGGTCTTAGGGAATGAGTTGTGGGAAAACAGAAGTGCCAAAAAATCTTGTAGCTGAGCTATCATGTGAATAAGTCATTTACAGATAAGATGCACAAAAAAAAAGAACCTACGACACGCAGTTAATGGCATTTCTTAAGGTGCAAAGGTTGATGTAGTTTTAAATGAGTTTTAAAGCATAGCGGTTTATCAGCGGGGAAGACGAAGAGGCAGCACTGGGCAGCAGCAACACTGAAGGGTGGAGAAAGCGGTGGATGATAGCAGGAGGTCTGTGGGGAGCTGAGCTGGCAGCTGCCGGTACTTTGGGTGCTGGGCAGGAAACGAGCAGGGAAATCTGGGCACCAGCTGATACATCCAGTGGCTCATATGAAGTCTGTGTGTGTCTGTTTTTTTTTTAACTGGTGTAATTGATGTGTAAAGAGAGTTATGTGCTGGCTAGTTTAAGCGTAGATATTTTTGTAGCAGGGTGGCACACTGGCATAGAGTTGGAGGTCCGCGTCTTACCTGTACTCTATTTGAGAGGCATCTTCTCTCTGTGTTGGGTGAGTCACTTCCAGGTCCTCTGATTCCTCCTACAGTCCAAAGACTAATGCAAGGAGGGCAAGGTTAAGTGGCCCTGAGTTGCCCATGGCATGTGAATGTGTGTGAGTGTTTGTTCGTGCCCTGTGAAGGACTGGCATCCTGTCCAGGGTGTCCCCCAGCCCTGTGCCCTGTGATGGACCGGCATCCTGTCCAGGGTGTCCCCCAGCCCTGTGCCCTGTGATGGACTGGCATCCCATCCAGAGTGTACCCCGTGTGCTGGCTGATAGCTTCCAGGCACAGGAGTAGCAATGAAATGAGTATAAATTTCCAAAAATGTAAGTATTAAATATCACACATTTAACTATACTTAGTAATTTGGTATGACTGTAATTGTGCTGAAAATACAATTTTAATTTCTCCTCTCAGCTGAGTAAATTTTTATAAGAAATCTCAGGGATAATTAACAGGGAAGACTGCAAGAGTCAATTATGAATAGACACAGAACGATTTGTTTAATAACAGTATAGCAAGGAATCCTCATGGCAGCAAGTGGATTAGTTAAATTAGCTTATATACAGTTCATTATTATCTGTTTCGTCAGGCTAAACAGAAGACAGAGTACAGATGTAACACATTTCACCCCAGTTACACGTTTTTTGTGTGTGATTAAAAAGCCCATTCTGTGTGTGTGGAACTGTGAAATGTGGCGGTAAAGCAAATATAAATGTGCAATATTTTAATTATTATAAAGCAATATTACATCACTATTATAAAGCACTAAGACATGACTGGTAATATTCCATGTCTTTGGAAAACCAAGTGTGTAATAAGTGGTGTTAATAGATATGAGTGTTTCATATTGGCCACAAATGCTGTGTGTCTAACCGTATTTGTGGTTTCCGTTGCCTCAGTTAACATGGCTTTTATTGCCAGTGACGCCAAGAGCCGGAGTGGTATTTTGAGTGTTTATTGCCTTCCGTTCTTCATATCTTAATTCCTTGTGTTACTCAGAGAGAGGAGAAAGTAAAAAAGGACCCATATATGGTTGATCTTGCCTTATAAATATCCCCTCTAGCGATTAGCTGTGGTGTCCTTGACCGAGAAAATTAGCTCAATGGTTGCTTTCTAACTTGCCACTCAAAACATCCTTCCCGGGATTTTATTTATTTTTTTCCGGTTCTGATGTTTTTCTTCTGAACCTTGGTGTTAATCTATGAATGGATTTTCCAGACACACAGGCCATCAAGACTTTAATATGAATGGAGATAGAACTTTTGGCAACCGTAGGAGGCCTCGTTTTTTCCCACAATGTGGTGTATACAGTATGTCTATTTTCAACAATTATTAAACAGAGGTTCTGCCTCCAGGCTACAATAAATTATTACGTTGAATGGACCAAAAGTAGACCAAAAGGAACATTTTTTTTCTCTTTTCTAAAATTCTGTAATCGCCCAGAGAAAGCCAACTTTAGTTATAAAAAAAAAAAAAGGAAATACTGTTTTTTATATCAGTGTCATATGCACTGAATTTTCCATTTAATAACCTGCTTACATTCTGTACACCTCCAGGCATCATTAATGTATCCGTGGTCCTTATTTACCATAGAATTTTCCACGCCGTTACATCAACTCATTCTACAGAAAAAAACAAAAGAGCTTTGCTATGCTAATAATATGTTTCGTTGATGTTGATGCCGAAAGCAGACGGACATGTCATCTTCCCCACCACTGTCAATAAGGCATTTCCTCACCATAAGACATTATAGTCATTCTACACCCCCGTTACTCTGAGGAGCTGGAAATTTCATGTTTAAAATAAGTTCTCAAGTCACTGTTGGCGTAAGTAGTGACGTGAGAGAGAGCCTTAGCATGTGGCTAGAGGGATTTACTGTGCTCTTGTCAGTCACTGCCCAATTTAACCCAATGGGAAATAACAAAGTAACCAAGGAGAATAGGTTAAACCAATGACTGATTGACGGCACGCGATAATTCCACCCGCTGTGGATTTCAGAACCTTGGGTCTCCCCTCTCTGGCTGTAAAAGCTTCTTCATCGCTTGGCAACCTGACCATCGATAGTATCAGAAGAGTTAGTCATTTCTGACGTGACATAACGTGAAGTTGTGACATTGGCGTCACGCTCTATGTCATGGACGGTTAGAGAAATGTGTTGAGCATCACATTGCTTCTGCCATAAGCTTCTGTGGTTTTGTATATCATGTTCATGACAGAGTAAAAGAATTAGACAGTCAATGATATTTAAATGATCTTCATTTTGGTGTAAAACTATGATGTCTGTCAAAGTGTGTCAGCTTAGCCATTTCTAAACACGTCCTTATATTTGTAGTAACCATCCAATACACCAATGTATTTTTTCACTTGACCGTGTTTGGTTATTCAATACCATTAAGTTATTTGACTAATTGTGTTAAATTTCACATCAGCACAATTAATTAACAAATACATGGAATGGCTGAGGTGCCCCTGAGGAGAGATTTCATCTCGCCATCCAAATAGATATGAGAAACTTTAGAAAACGAGATTATTTTTTTGTGTTACTGTAAATTTGAAAATGTTGTAATGCTCATTTTTTTCTTGAGCAAATCTTTCTACCTGGATAAATGGTCTTAAACCTTTTCTTTGACTGCCTAAAACTCCTGCCCAATTCTGTACATTCTTGGCAGCAGTTACAAGCCATCGTGACGTGACATGGACATACAACACGTTTATGACAGCGCCATGAATGTATTACCTGCGACGATATGCATTATTTATTTTGATACTTCATCAGTGGATATCTCATACTTCCTCAGGGGGCAATTTTTTAAACTAAACGTAATTCACAGCCATGTGAAAGACAGTATAGTTAATGGAGAGCTCCTGACCCTAAGCTCCGATTGGCTGGTCCTGGATCAGTTCCAGAAGGACCCCAGACTACTGGTGTCTCTCCCCTTCGTCGTGTTTATCCCCGTCAGTTGTCAGTGGAAGCTGGCAGTCTGCTCTCCGAGTGAAACGTGACTCCCGCACACATGCCTCACTGACTCTCATCCGCACATCTGGTAGTCTGCAACCCCCCCCCCCCTTCATGAATATGCAGGAACGTGAACCGTGTTTATTTCCATTATCACCGCCGCATAAGTGCATTTCCATGCCAGTTTTCCACAGTCGTCTTCTCTCTTTGGTATTTGGATGAGCTGCTCAAACATTTTTACTGCATGTTATCCTCTTAATGCCCCCACCCCCCACCCCATAGACTTCTGTCTTTGATTGATCGTGCCAGGATGTCAGTTCCTGTTTCCTACATAGCTACACAGCTTTTGTCTGTCCTGTTGCCCAAGTCAGAGATTAATATAAACTACATATTTTAGTGAAAGCAGTAATACTGTCAATGTGCATCATACTGCGTAGATGAGTCACTGAAACATGCATTTAATTTTATTTTATTCTAATCGTTATCGTTCCTGGTTTTATAGTTCAAGGCAGTTGACCAGATGATTATCTTATGCATATAAAGCAGAAGAATAAAGATGCCA